TCCCCCCAGCCCAGTTTCGATTTCGGTTTCGAGCAGTTGCGTATTTTTACTTTATTAAAAATATACGTGACACTGTAGCAAAATATTGATTGGGTAGTCTTCCGACACCATAATAAATCGCCTGGCAAAAAAGAATAAAAAAATTTGGGGTGTGTGTAAGTGCTCTTTAAGTGTATGAGTCAAGCTTGCGCCAAAAATTTTAAATAATCTCGGACACCAATCAGTTTGGAGGTACAATACAGGAACGACAAGGACGTCTTTCTGTTGTCGTGAAAGACGTGCAGAACCCAGGGATCCTGGATTCAAACCGCACCCCTGCCCGTTTCGATATGAATGAACAGATCGTATCGGCGTGCGGTCGTGTATCACCACCAGTTCGCACAATATAGAGCGAGACGTGCGGGTTGGGGCGTGTATGTAGGTACCGAGAGGATTAAAATAAATACTTATACGACCCTACTATAGTCGGTTACAAGTCAAGAAGGTGGGAGAAGCTCCTCCCACAAGTGTGATGCGGCCGTTTCAAATCTCTCCGCAGTCGAAAGAAGAGTTCACTGGAAACGCTCCTTGTTCCGCTTCAATGGGTTCCCACTTGTCTCCGATCCCATTTTTTAAGAAAGCGACCTTTGTATTCATCGGAGAGGGAACGGAGCCCCTGAAAGCAGCCTTTGTATCCATCGGGGGGGAAGCTAATCCCCGAAAGACGTGTTTGTTTCCGTCGGTGGGGGAGAACTCTAATCTCCCTCTCGTGGCTTCCACAATACTAAGTCAAAGTCCAAAGATAAAGCAAATATGTACAGAAAGGCAAGACCCTCCCCGCGCGTTGGCCGCGACGTCACGGAAACGGTGGGACGTTATTGGATGCGGAGGTGGCGGAGGGATATCTGATTCCCTTTGAGGGGCATTTGCCGCTACCTTCTTAACCTGTAACTGACTATAGTTGGTTTCACCTACGATGTTCTTCCCTTCGACGTGCTTGAGGAGAGCGCTAATAACCGTCCCGGTCACAGCTCGCAGATAATTGTAGGTGATTTCGACTTCTTTGACGATGTATGCGAAGCAAGCAGCAACGCAGCTGTGTCATCTTTGTGTGGTCACATGACGAGATAAACCGAAACCAATAAAATTAACTCGAAACCGAAGCACATATCTCTTTAAAAGGACTGAACGTTGGTTTTATTTTAGTAATCAAAGATGTGGAAGTCTGTACGAAGCACGATAAATTAAATGCTTTTCTACAAGATTCAAAGAAACAAGAAGTTGTTTCTCTGAAGCTGACGAGATCTACGTCCAACGACCTACAAGTTTTATCGTGGCCGCCACCAAGCAGCGCCGCGAAACCCCACTTCCCCCGATTGCTACGCTTCGAATACCGACACTCCATTCGCCGATTGCCCTATGGGCACCGCCATTTTCATGCTTTTTGCAGAGCCTGCGCAATCGACGATCGTTACGATTGGGAAATGGAACTTCCTCAGCTTCGGATACGGTGTCGGTAAAGCTCTGGCGATAACGCGTCTTGCTCCGTCGCGGACTGTTTCAGCATTTCTGGAGGAAGAAAAACCGTTTCCTGCGATTCCTGACACAGCTTGAGATACCATGGCGACAACAAGACGGCTGAAGTGTCGTTTGGTGGCTCTATACTGCATTCGCAACAATTATTTCCTCCGAGATTTCTATTCTGTTAGAACTTGCAATTTCAACGAAGGAAAACACGCACAAAATAAATTATTTATCTGCCGGCCATCCCCGGTGTTAATCAGAGTCTTTCGTACAGCTCTGGGAAGGGGGAAATGCAAGCAGCCAAGACCCGGACGGGGCAATCCCTACGCAGCAAGGGCAACGCTCAAACTTGTTTACATTATAAGAACCGGCGTCGTCGAGGGTCGCGCTTTCGTTGAGTTTGTGCTTATTTCTTGTTTTATAATCCATCTCAAGCTATCAACGAGTCCGAGCGCAGTCGACGAAGAGCCAATGGGATCTATCTATCAAGCTGCGTCCAAAGCGCAGCGTCGCGCCGTTCGTCCTCCAAGAAAGGGATTTGGAGGAAGTGCGCGTTGTCGCGCGTGCTTGGTTATAAGTTCGGTAGCGCTGCATCTTTGTGGAATCATCTAAGATCGCTGTTGTGTGCCCTAATGCGGTCTTGACCTCGATGCTTTTACGGACGCCGTAGGCGCTTTTCCGGCATCTCAGCTGGCATCTCGTGCGCTACCAAACGCGTCTCTGTTATTGGGCTTCCACAATTGACCTTATATACTACGTCGTCTTGAGTAGGATGATTTCTGGTCTCAGCGACGGAAATAAGAGCTAAGTCAGACTCTCAACTGGTGATTTGGGAACGCGATGAGAAGGCTTCCAGCCCGCTTTTTATACGCACCGTCGAACTTGTCGCTCGTTTCTAATAATCTTGATCGTAACATCAGGGAAAAGAACCCTAAAGGCTATGTTATACTGTGACGTCGAGCGTAGCGAACATCTTTGTGTCGCAGTATTAAAAGTCGAATCGCAGTTGTGCTCTTGAACTGAGGAATTAATTACAGTGCACAAAATCATGGTCTGGGTACCTCGTCGCCATATATATCGTGAAGTATAGTTTACGAAATACGCTGCACAATATACGGAGTGTTTTTTTTAACTTGACAGATTTGTTAAAAAAAGTCGTGAAAGTTACACTTATGCGGTTTCTACTAATGAGTTATACGGCCAGGGGGACAGAGTATAGGGGGCTAATCGTAACGATCAGTCGGCTAATTAATTACAATTCGTTAACTAACTTTTTAATTAAGGCAACTAGACGTATCGGTCCAATTAGAAACTTGCTGAGCGTCATTGAAAACCACTAAATCAACTTTTTTTAGGAGGACGTAAACCAGGGGCAGCATTTTACGGCGTTCTAAAAAAGCGCTCAATTTGGACGCGTTTCTAGGTTTCGCTTTCTTATCAGAGCGCATCTTTGCGCCCGCGGTCCTGCCCCTCGGTGGTCGCGGCGCAAAGCCCCCTTGCCGCCCTCGTAGCAGAGAGGGAAGTTTGGCGCACATGTGTTGCGCGTCTCAGCCACTGGGGAGCCGGACCGCGGGCGTAGAGATGGGCTCCGATAAGAAATCAAAACCTAGTAACGCGTCCAAATTGAGCGTTTTTACGCAACGCCGTAATATACTGCCCCTGCGTTATATCCTTCTAAAAAAATGACCGCATATCCACATGGTGAATGATGGATGTTGATTGGGGCGAAGCTCTGGTGGTGCTGATGATACTGACTTTATAGTTCATAGGTAGTGCTGATGGTGCTGATTCTTTTATTGCTCATAGGTAGTGCTGAGTTCCAGGTTGCCGTTTCGACTTTATTATTACTGCTTTATGGTCGGTGAAATGCAGAGCCAGTGGTTCTTCTAGCGGATCAGCTTGGATCCGCTAGAAGCCGTGGGAACGCATCTCCACCGTTTAAGTCAACGGTCCATGTCAGAAAGAGAATGAGTGGTATGGAACGTGGTTATATACGCATTTGAGCATTTGACCGCAGCGCCCTCTCGTCTATAAATGTTGAGCCAATGCGTGCAAAGTTTAACGCGATTATATACGCATTTGACCGCAGCGCCCTCTCCTGTATAGACGTTGAGCGGC